CACTCATTTCACAACTGCTTCTCTTCACCATGGTGACAAGATAGGGCAAAAACGTAAAATGTGAGGACAGTCATAAGTTCGAGGACTGGTCAAAAGTGCGAGGACCAGTCAAAAATAACTTTTTCAGCCCTCTGAGTAGTCCATATGCACAAAAGGACTACCCAGAGGGCTGAAAAAAGTGATTTCTGACAGGTCCTCGCACTTTTGACCGGTCTTCGCACTTATGACTGGTCCTCACACTTATGCCCATTGTAGCATTCTTAACAATGTGTCACTCATTTCACAACTGCTTCTCTTCACCATGGTGACAAGATAGGGCAAAAATGTAAAATGTGAGGACAGTCATAAGTTTGAAGACTGGTCAAAAGTGCGAGGACCAGTCAGAAATAACTTTTTCAGCCCTCTGAGTAGTCCATATGCATAAAAGGATACAGCAATAGAGAGGGATGAAGGAAGGGAAGGGAAATTAGAATAGGAGTGAAGGTAAGAGAGGGAGGAAGAGAGGAGGAGAAGGAGAAAGGAAGAGGAAGTAGGGAGGAGAAGAAGAGGGTGAGGAAGAGAAAGTAAGAAGGAAAGAAAAGAGAGAGGTGGTAGGTTTGAGGAGAAAGATTGCTGTACAATAAAAAAATGAAAGGAAAGAAAGCCAACCCCAAACAAATATAAAGATATTAAGATAAAGAATGAATTGTTAAACTTTAAAGAATAAAAGAGAACAAATATGAATAAATAACAATAATTAGAAACACACATACAAACATACAATGTATTTTCTTTGAACAGAGTATTTGGCTGGTTCATAAATTTAAACAGTGTTTAGTCATTTCAATTAAATTTACAATTTCTATATTTTCTTTTTGCCATATTTATTCCTCATCTATTTTTGTAAAAAACCAATATTACCCTTCATCCTCATCTCTAATCTTAATCAAATTCAATTTTTCCCTTCTATTCTATATTATACCCCTTCCCATTGTCATCTATTTTTATATCCATCCTTACATTGGTTAATTATGTAATATTACAGTTGTTTAATATGAATTCAACATTTTAATATAAATCAATTAGTTATATAACTACCTTTTTTGTATATTAATCAATATGAACATGAATATTCCAATTATTTCCATGCAATCCAATTTCTTACAAATCAATTAATTATATTTACCAATAATAATAAACCAAATAATTTCCCCCATATATTCCTCCAAATCAAACTTAACCATTTCTGCTTTCAACACAATATACAATTAATAGTATCTCAATTATTACAATTCCCTAGTTAAATAGAGCTTTTTTTCTTTTGTGTTTTAAAATCTCCTCTTTTTCCCTAAATTTCCCGTTGTTTGCACCTACCTTTTTGGTGAGGAAAAAGAAATCTGCCTGCCTAATTTTCCAACGTGCAAAACCAACAGCCTGCTTTACTTTCTCTTTCGTTTTTCAGTATAGCTAGGGGGAAAAAAAGCTGCACTCTTTCCAAGCAAGCAGCAGAGCTCTGAGCAAAACAGCTGAGCCGATCTAAGCAAGGGCTAATTAGCCTATGCTGAAGCTCCGGGGGCCAATAAAATTACAAAAAAACACCGAACCCTTTGTTAAATTGCTGGCTCCCCCGCCCCTCTCACCCACCACTATTTATTGGCAATAAATAGTGGTGCGGAGGGGCGGGGCAAGCCAGCAATTTAACAAACGGTTCAGCTGCACCACTGGCTATAGGGCGGCCCTTTGAAGCCCTGCGGCAAGAATTTAAACAGTTTTTTTTTTCCTCTAGCCATCGGAGGCAGCAATAGATTGGGAGTGGGCGGGGTAAACGAACGGCCGGCGATCCAACAGAGCAGAGAGTGAGGGTGAGTGAAGGCATGGGGGGGGGCAAGAGAGGGCTTTGGCGACCCCTGTGAAATGGCCGTTCGACCCCCAAAGGGGTCACGACCCCCAGGTTGAGAACCGCTGCTATAGAAAGAAAGAATGGAAGGTTTGTAAGCCACCTGAAGTCACCAGAATTGGGCAGCTATATAAATTTGTTTAATAAATAAACAAACAAATAAATACAGGTAATCCTTGTTTTATGACCACAATTAAGCCAGAATTTCTCTTGGTAAGCATGACAATTGTTAAGGGAATTTTGTTCCATTTTAAGACTTTTCTTGCCACAGTTTTTATGTGAATCACTGCAGTTATTAAGCTAATAACACAGTTGTTAAATGTATCTGGCTTCCCCATTGACTGTGCTTGTCAGAAGGTCACAAAAGGCAATTCCATGACCCCAAGATACTGCAACTGTCATAAATACATGCCAGTTGTCAAATATCCAAATTTTGATCATGTGACAATGGGAATGCTACAATGGTCATAAATTTGAAAAATGGTCATCAGTCCCTTTTTCAGTGCCATTGTAACTTTGAACAGTCACTTTCAATTGTAAGTTGAGGACTACCAGTAAAATATGTTTTAGTCTGAAAGGCATCCTATTGGAGAAGCTTAATCAGAAGATCCCTGACTTCCATATATATATATAGATAGTCAGTCTATCTAAAGGAGCCCTATGTATCAGTTCCACTTCATAGCTCTAACGAAACTAAGAATCCAATATGGATTTGTCAAAAACAAACCATGCCAAACAAATCTTATTGCATACTTTAGCAAAGTGACTAAATTAAGAACTTTTAAATTAAGAACTAATTCCTTGAACTAATCAAGGAAACCTAACCTAGAACTAAGGAGAAATTTCCTGAGAGTGAGAACAATTAACCAGTGAAACAACTTGCCTCTAGAAGTTGTGGGTGCTCCATAACTGGAGATTTTTAAGAAGAGACTGGACAGCCATTTGTCTGAAATGATATAGGGTCTTCTGTTTGAGTAGGGGATTGGACTAGAAGACTTCCTAGGCCTCCCTTGCAACTCTATTACACTGTTTTTTGGTTAAGTGGTTGAGGAATATAAGGCTGTTATTTCAATAAAAATAAGTGTATTTGTTTTTCCTTCATATTTGGACTGTGTTCCTCATATATCAATATTAAATATTAATTTTATACATTTCTATACAGCATTTTTGCAAGTTATTGAAAATCCATGCATACATTTATTATTTTCTATAAGGGGTGCTGTTATACCTCATCTTCTGTTGGGACCATGGGAAATTCATGTTACTACACGATCATCATATTTGTAGAAGCCACTCAGAGACTTATTATGCATATTTGAAGCTGCCTATTGCCAGTTAGCTTTTCATATTTTTAGATAACGATAACTTGCCCATGGAGTTATTTTTTAAGACAACTTTTCTAAAAAAGTTATTTCCCCTTCCAAAGAACATAGTTCAGTACAAATTTCCTCCAGTTCATTCTGGATAATATGTGAAATGGCTTTGTGACATGTCTATTATCTGTGTCCTTTTAAAGAACTTTATTATTACAAAAAGAAAAATCTGTTGGCTTTGAGACATTGAGGTTTTCAATGTCACAAATTCATTCTTCATGTTTAAAAAATGTACTGTAGTCACTAGTCAGATGACCAGACAATGGGATTAAGTAGAAATGATTTTTAATCATGTATTGTTTATGAATCTCTTCAAAATGACTCTGTAGCTAATACTAAATGAAGAGTCTCTTTGTTGCAAGTCAAGATAATAACCTTCCCTTACAATTTTAATACTAGTCCTTACTTTGTTTGAATGAGTTCTGCTTTATGCAATGATATTTTTTAATTGGATAAAAGGACACAGATAGATGTACAAGTATGTACAAAGATGTACAAATGTGGCACAAAATCACAGCTTTGGGGAACACCTATGGCTGTTCTTTTCACTTTCCTTCTCTAAATGCCCAGAAAGCAAACCCACCCCAAAAATAATCATATAATTTACTTTGAAATTATGCCAGATGTCAATTCTTTGTCATATTTGTTTTGGACAAAGAATTCTAGATTTTAGACATAATTTTAAACCAAAATAAATTTAATTATGAAGAGGTACTTTTTAATGGTTGCATCTAATTCTTTTTAGAAGAAATTAGCTTATTTAAGCAATGAATGTATATATAAAACTAAATGGAAAAATTATTAGACAGACTATTCATTTCCTATTTATTTATTTATTTATTTATTTATTTATTTATTTATTTATTTATTCAATTTATATGCCGCCCCTCTCCAAAGACCCAGGGCAGCTCACAATACAAGTAGATGCCTAGTGAATTGGTTAATATAGATTATTTTTGTTCTTCAGGAACAAATTCCTTATCTTAAGGAATTTATTAATTTAAAAAATCTATGCAAAGCTCTCTTTTGTTCTGTATTATTCTAAATAATTGAAGCAAAAGAATTTAGCACCAAATAAAGCTGTTCCTTCTGTGATAATTAAGGTGTTTCATTAAACTCCTAAGATTTGCAGAAAAATAAATTAATATGGGTTCTGAACATGTGTTTTACCTCAATTCATCACAAAGGAATACAAACTACAAATGTGTTAATTGTAAATTATCTTAAGTAGATTTATCACTAGGAAACCTTATTTTTTCAATACAAAATATTTTAAATATTACAAATAAGCTTAGAATATTTCTTGAATTTTTAATTAAAAAACAAAATGAGTAAATAATATTCCACCTGTAGACCTATCAAGTGTTAAAAGTTATTTGCATTGATTTCAAATGTTAAAAGCAGTTTAAAGCAGCAACTCTAAATCTATACATTTAGGTATGTAAATCCCATTGAATTCAAAGAGTTTACTTTGAATAAACTTGTATCAAATTTCATTATAATAATGATTCAGCACAAAAATAGATTACTGAAGTTAAAAGATATCACAGCCATCCCCCTTGAAAAGTTAACTATCTTACCATGTTTCATATGTAGCTTTAAGTGATACTAAGCATGATTTTCTTGGCTTCTCATTATAAATTAGTCATAATCTTTTTCTTGATTACATTTCAGCCATGTTAAAACTGCAATCAAGGTTTGCCTTCAGACAATACGACTGAATCTCAAGAGATGTTCAAAAAGGCACGTACCTGTCTGCAGAAAGAGCCATGAGGGTGAAGACTGATACCCCCACTGAAGTAAGCTGGATAAAAGAAATAAGTTTACATCCAACTCGACCAAAAAGCCATTCAGGAGACAAATATCTGCTGGCATCCACAGGAACACAGGTGATCAAAAGAAGCAAGTCTCCAAAAGCCAGACTGGAAATGAACAAATTGGGGACATTTCTCATGGACTTTACTGTACAAAAGATTTTAATCAGGGTGATATTGCCAATTAGCCCAATCAAAATGATGATCCCATAAATAGCTGGAATTGCATATAGGAATCTGTAATAAAACAAGTCCTCACCCGAGAAAGAGAAATTTGTATGTTGATCAGTAGAAACATTACAAAGAATTAAATCACTGAGTTCTGTATCTAGAAAAATGCAGTCCTCGGCCATTCTTGGGATTTGGCTAGGAAATGAATGTTCAGTTTAAAAGGAAAAAGCACGAGCAAATTGTTTTGAGTTGTTTGCCTTCCTCCTCAGTAACTATTGACAGAAGTGGTTATATGTGATATTCCTTATCATGAAAGACACTCATAATAAATAAGCTTATTCAAATGAGCAAGTGTCAACCTAGTTTCATTTCCAAAACTGTTCTCTTTGTCAGTTAGTTAGAATGGTGAATAAATATTTTCCTAGTTTGTCAAGAGCAAAAGATGCCATTGATGCAAAGCTATCCAGGTCCAAGATCTATGCAGCTTTCACTGCCAAAATATATATATCACATTTTGCAAGAACAATTGGTCATTGCTGCCTGCCTTGTCTTTTCAGCCTGCATTTGTAGGTTGTGTTTACAGCAAAAGTAAGGAGCAGCTCTTTTAAACACACAAATGCTAGAGGCAGGATCTCTGGGACGTCAGCACTGCTTGCTTTACTTCACATAATATTGCAAGCTTCCTTCAATGGATATTTATTTAATAGATGTAGGAAATTTCTTGCCTGTTTTTTGGGGCATGCCAGCCACCTACTGGACAAGTTCATCATTGCCCCACCAAATAGAGTCAGAATCTGTTTGGAATATTTTTGTTCTAATGTTTCTCTGTAGGATACATTTGTGAAAAAAGCCCCAGACTTTTGCCTTTGGTTTAGGGGAAAAGAGAAAGAAAAAATAGTTTATGGTTTATTTTAGAAATGTGAGTTAGGGAAAGGCTCTGTGTATTCAGTTGAATAATGCAAATGATATATAATCGTGGAAGGAAAACTGATTTTTCTAATATTATTAAACTCTAGTTTTTATCAGCTCCATCTAGTATGGCCAGAAATGATGAGAATCAGAATCCAGCAACTTATGAAGGAGTAAGTCCCAGTGAATAGGACATAAGTGCTGTCCAGCAAACAAGCTGAATTTCACATCTGTTTATTTGGCTAGTGTTGCTTGGGGGAAGGCAGAATTTACTACAATTACTACAACTGGTGTCCCAGAAAGTATTACTTCTGAAATTATTTCTCTCAGGATTGCATTACAGATAGGTGGTAAGCAAGTACTAAAAAAGCAGCAATAAGAACTCCTCCAAAATTAAATCAGAAAAAAAGTCAGATATCAGGAAAACTTGAATTATTTTTCTCAGATGATAACAGATGCAAAAAATTAGGTTTCATTTGTTTGAGGACTCCACATCATCCAAAACCCCCATGAACTGTCCAAAGCAAAAGCATCACCTCTGTTTTACTGGTAAGTGACAATAAAGTAGAAAGAGGAAATGGAGTTTTGTTTTTTTCTGGGTAGAAAGAATATTTTTTGCAATTACCCTTTCAAAACCCAGGTCATTCAAGCTCTTTTTTAAAATGCCCTAGTGAAGCAAAAAAGGGAAGCACAGAAATTAGAATCTTCTTTCTTTCTTTCCATGTGTGGAAAGTGACAATCAGAACTGAAAAATTTGGAGGACTGGTAGGGAGCACACCGGAGCAGCAAAACAGGCAATTTTCTTGCAGTTAGATTTTAATCTCATCGCAAAAATTCAGTTAAGGCAATGTCAGCAGAAATTGAATTTTAAAAAAACACGGACCAGGAAATCAAAAGGAAACCATTGGCCAATGACACTTTATCCATTTGGTCACAAATGCACATTTTATTACTGCCACATTCACCCTTAAAGTTACAATTTATGTTGGCATTTATATTTTGCCCTGGTTCTCAATAATGTTGGTTTTAGGACAAAAGGTCTTGATGTAAATTTCTTTCCATGGAATCTTTAGCCCAAAACTTGATTGTTCTCAAGAGGATTTTAAAGTCTCTCTTTTTGTAGTGAAGAAAGGTCCCTCTCCCCAGATAGAAGAAGAAACTATGAGGCAGTAAATAATTCAAACATAATACAAATAAATCAAATACAAATGATTAAATCACAACCGTTTAAATCCTTTCAACTAAAACACTAGCCTTGTCTGACTCATTTCCAGAACTGACAGCCAGAGGGCTAATCAGAAAGACTAACAAAACCATCAGAATGTAGCAACAAAGTAGCCAAACACGTAACCCAGTAGCAATATCTTGTTAAACCAATTACCATCTTTTGTTAAATAAACAAGACACAGGAACTAGTCAAATTTCCCAACTCCATTTCTATTTTCAACAGAAATAAACCCTTTTTTCCTTCCAGACAAAGTCAAACTAAGAAAATGATCCCATCAATAGAAATAGAATTAATACATCACCAAATACAGGATTTAATTATCAAGGGCATGTGTTAAGCTGAAAGACTCAGAAAGAATATATAAACTCATGTTTGGATGTCAATCACTCTAGCTAGCCAAGAAACTTTGCTGAATGTCACTCGTCTTGGTTTCTTGCCATTAAAAGACTTCTTTCTGGCAGCTTTGCTTTGCTATTCCATTTATTCTTCAAAGCGTTGTTTCCCAGCTGGAAGAATCCTCATTGGGAGGCATTTTCCTCCCAACAGTAGAAATATACACATATCACAGATGCAATTTAAACAACAAATTTGTAAAATTCAGAACTGCAGGGCTATGTCATTAAAGCAAAACAATGTATTAACACCAGTTTGGATACAACTCTGACCTGGAACATAAAGGATATGCAAAGAAACATGTTATTATTTCTCATGACACGAGTAAGTTAATTTTTCAGTAAATATTAGCCTCCTCAAACTTCCCAAGATTTCCATACCATGAAAATTTCAGTATGGGGAGAAGAGGTTGTAGCTTTAACGCAGGCAGCTTTATCTTCAATGGACAGTGAATTATATTAGCAGGAATTTCAAAGTGCTTTAGGAGGAATGTTGAAATAATGCAATACGGAATTTTTCTAGAATTTGCTGGAGTTTGTTAATTTTGTTTTCCAGAAATAATGATTTGGTGGAGATTGTGGGATCTAGGAATGCAATTTTTAATATTACTTTAGAAAATGGGAAGTATTTCTCTGTCTTCTCCTTTACTCCAAGCCTATAATCTATCTATATTGTATTGGCTATAACAACATGTTAATTAAATGTTAAACTGTTTCCAGTTTAAATTAAGTGGTTCACTTCTTGCATCTTTGGGGAGCAATGCCTTCAAGTCAATGTTGACTCCTGGTGACTGCCTGGTCAGGTTTTCGTGGCAAGTTTTTTTTTCAGAACTTGCCTCATCCCTAGGTCTGAGGGAGAGTGACTGGTCCATGGACTCCCAGTTGGCTTTGTATCTAAGATAGGCTTAGAACTCACAGTCTCCCAGTTTTTCATCTGATGTTCCACCCACTACACCAAAATGGCTCTTTTGTGTCATTACCACCTCATAAATGAGCAGCAATAAGGATCGCATCAGTTCTTGCAGAAAGATGGTGTGTGTCAACCTGCTGCCTCTGTGGTAAATAATCTTCTGAAGGCCTCCATTTGAAGTGAGTACAAACTACTTCAGAATAATCTAACTTAGATTCAGGTGTAATTCTAATGCATCTATCTGAATAAATTCAAATTAAGTTGCACTTTAATAGTGCACAATCCTAATATAATCCATCATTTTGTTTTTGTCAGGGCATTGATTAATCCCATAATTGGCTCTGGGACAATCACCCTGATTTAATTAGAGGAGATGGATTGTGGCTTCCTCCAAGTTGCAATATTCTGAAAAGAAAACCCGAAGAAAAGTTCTCTAATAAAACTCATTTATTTGTTATAAAGAAAATAAAACACCTCACTAACTAAGAAAGATAATTGCTACATTTTGAAATAGTTCGGGCCAGCTGCTTTCCAGCAACCGGCAATCGTGGCAAGAGAACAAAGGGAAAAGAGTGTGAAGGAATGTGAGTGGATCCGGAAACACGTAGCTTACTGATAAGAAGTTGGCAAGCTATGGAAAGTCAGACAGTCCAGAAATGATTAGCTCAGCTGGTAAATAAAAGAACGCAGTGACATTCCCCTTCTTTTGCCAGTTGAGCGAATATCAGTACATCATCAAATAAGGCACATCTTCTTACGCAGATACTCGTGTTGAGCTGCTGGAAGTGGTTTGTTGAGCATGTCAGCAATTTGATCATGTGTAGATACATATTGCATTTTGACAAAACCTTGTTTCACTAAATGTTTTATGTTTTGATAACGGATGTCAATGTGTCTGGACCTAGAACCTGTGAAATGTGATTCAGAAATATAAACCACCGATTCATTGTCTTCCATCACTGTGATTGGTCGGATCGGGTGCGTCCAGATATCTGTGACTAAAGTATCAAACCAAGTTAGAGAATTACATGCATCTGAAACACAAGCATATTCAGCTTCAGTAGATGAACAAGAAACAAAATTCTGTTTACGCACTTGCCAATAAACAGGACATCCATTTAAGAACATCATATAACCTGAAGTACTTTTATGTGATTTCTTATCACTCGCCCATTCAGAATCTGCATAACAACATAATTCTGCATAATCAGTATGTGTTGGTTCTAACAATAACTTCAAATGTTTGGTGTATTTTAGGTATCTCAATAATTTCTTAATACATGTCCAATGAAACTGTTTTGCCTTACCTACGTGTCGAGATAAGAGATTAACAGTAAGTGCAATGTCGGGTCTGGTCCAACTAGTAATGTACAATAGTGACCCAATGACTGAACGATAAAGTGTTTGATCCTCGAACTCAGGACTTGCTTCTTGTGTCAAGTTATGAAAATCTGTTTGCATGGGTGTCTTTGTTGTGTTAGCATCTTTCATGTTGCAATGATGCAAAATTTGTTCAATTTTATCTTCTTGTGAAAGACTAAACCCCTTCTGTGTCTTTTCAATCTGAACACCTAAATAAGTGCTAATATGACCTAATGATTTCAGTGTGAAGTATCTCTGCAAAGCTTTGGCAAAAATTTCACTCATTTGCTTATTTGGACCAATATAAACAATATCATCAACATAAACAAGAACTATCTCATATGCATTGTTAGATCTTTTTGTGAACACGCACTCATCAGTTTCGGACTTAATAAAGCCTATTGAATTTAGTTTGTCAGTAAGACATAAGTACCACATTAAACCAGTTTGTTTCAGACCATAAAGACTTTAGGAACCAGGTATCCCCTTCTTGCTGTCGGAATCC